GATTAACCATTCATTGGGATCCCTCCATAAAAATGTAAACCCACTTAACTGTCCATATGACAGTCTCGTATGATCATAGTCTTTAAAAAAAACAATACTGGATACCGTCTCCCTGGGATGATGACCTTTTCCGACTGAAATGTGGATTTAAGGACATAGAAATCTTTAATGCTGCCGGTCATCGCTTTCTTTTTTAATCCCTGGTTCAGCTTAAAGCTCCCCTCCTGATAAACACAAATACATTTACCTTCTTGACCTCTCTTTAGCCGAGGCCAGGGCCAGCATAGGGCACTGCTCACTGCTGCTATGTGAACCCAGGAAGGTCTTTGTATACATAAACTTCAATGAATGGACACTTATAAATTCCAGACTTACGGAAGGTGCTTTGACATTGCTGTCTCTTTTCGCTGAGTGCTGAAAGATCCATTAGTTCTTGATGCCCTGCGAGTTCCTTAAAAAAGATCCAGCATGAGACCCCCCATGGGAGATTAGGTGTTGACATCTCATGTCGAGAGTCGGGGTATGCCCTTGTCATAACACTCTTATGGGGCTAAATCATTTCCTGTGGGCACTGCTGGGTTTGCTTTCTGCTGGGTGATTGTCGTGTCAGATAGAAGCAGGCAGTGCTTAACGTGCTCAAAAGGACTTGCGGTTTCCTTCCCTGCACTTGTTTTCCAATGTGAGGAGTGTGAAGTACAGCCTCTGCACGTGCATGGAAGGTTTAGAACACTCACCAAGTCTTCAAGCTCTCTTTGTGACATTTTTAAGGAGGCAGGAGTTTAGAGTTTTGTGTCATTTATCACCTCATTCCTATCTAAATGGTCTAAAAGAAAACACAGCGAGTTCTTCAGTTTCCATTCCAGTAAAACACTGGACAGGTACTGTAAACAAGTTGCAGACCATTCCTCTGCTAGAGCTCAGATCTCAAATGTTGATAGAGGGATGGCTTTGTACCCAGAAAGACAAAGGTGGGCTATTCACCTCAACACAGCATGTGCACAGTTATGCGGATCAGACAGCAAACAAGGGAACAACAAGAACATTATATTTTTGGGAAATTCCAACAATGCAGGCATCCTTGATATTTGGAGCCAAGTGTGAGAACGCAACAGTGACACAAGTTGAAGTACGCAGACAGACTGCCAGGCATGCGCAACATTTAGGACACAGGACAGCCAATAATGAGCCTGGCATTGTTCTCAAAAGCATGCTGCGTTCTGTGAGAGCATTTTGTCAGCAGTGCCACGCTGTTAGAGCAGACAGCTCTTCCGTGCAATTTGTCTCAACCAGGCGGGCATGACGGAGCCCTGAGAGAATTAGTGGTGGTTAAATTAGTTGGATCCTTGTGGCCTGGCTTAGAGAAAAGGTGTAAATGTCTTCAGGAGTGGTTCCAGTCCATAATAGGTAACATGTTTCTGCTAGTTGAAGAATACCACAAAGAAAAGACCTGATGAAAGCAACTGATTGTATAATATAATTAATGTATTCTGCATTATCTTGCTTATGTCAGTGTAGTAAGGTTTTCTTTACATTCATTCACCAGCAAGAAAGGCTGACGTCATTCTGTGGACACTTCAGATTTAGCTAATTTAGCTTCCCACATTAGGAAGGCTGCTGGAGGAGGCTTTTTTTTTGGGACTCAACAGACCCAAGCATGGACTTTGTGAACCGAGTGACATACCCCAACTCTGCTTGCCAACAGCAGCCTGTGTGGTAGTACACCCCTGTTATCACACAGCTCTCAAGGCCCCTCAAGTGTTGAGGCTCAGAGTTAATGAGTTGAATCGCTGCACCAACCCTTTTAGCTCAGATAGCTGAGGGGTCTTTTTCTATTAAATCAATCTTTTACTTAAATTAGTTGAACTGCTCTCTCTCTTTCAGTTATTTTCAGCAGGGTGATCTGGTCTGCAGGTAATCCTGGTTGGGGATCATGACTTAAATTCAGCTGAGGTTAAAAGTTAGCATGGCAGGTTGACTACGTTCAGTGGACACTCCCACATGGTGACCTGAACCGTATTGGGGCCTTTTGGTTACAACTTACAGTACATGTGTTTATGGTAATTGATTGTAACTGTGCTGATTTTTAAAGTAGACACGTGTCTCCCTGTAATGTTGATGTGATTTACATCCCTATGGGCTTCGTGAAGACAGCGCACATGCTGCTCGACTCCCTATAGCGGTTCTTCCATGAGGATCGCTAGCTTTACTTTTAGTGTTATTTTGACCCAGGCAGTCCGCTTTCCATATCTCCAAAAATAATATTCTGCTTTCATCAAGCGCCCTGTCTGATCTGTCTCAGTTTATGTTGTTTCTAATGGAAAAAACGTGTTTTGCATTGCCCTCACACACTTTGTGCAAAAGTACAAAAACAAAACCCTGCATGTTTCAGTGGTGGCACTGTCGTGTTTACCTCAGATTTACTGTGGCAATATAGTGTATTCACAAGCACATACTGTGGTCCTCTAGATGCCATATTCTGAAGCCCTGTGGTGTTGACGTTGAGAGTGTAATTACTGCATAAAGTTTGCCGGGATGTGCCGGGGCAGGCTGTACTCTGCTTGTTTGTTTAGGTGGTGGTCTGAGGCCGCTTAATAGTGGCGCTTTGGGGTCTGGAAGAACACCGAGCTGCTGGATTGGTGAAAAATCCCAGAGATCTAGCATCTGAGGGCCTTGAATTCATTACACATGTTCCCAGTCTCCACAGTTTAGCCCTGTGATTAAGTGCCGCCCCTTGATCACCCGGGGAGAGAAAATACCACACAGAAGCTGCCTACTGTCTCCTCAGGGAGTTTGTTTTTTTGACTTCTTAGAACAACTAGGACCTTTAGAAAATAGATAAATAGCGTTGGTAGACCGCAGACTTTAACCAAAGGGGATTCTTAGAGTCTAATAAAGATGATTCTAAATAAAGATGCTTCATGGCTGTTTGCTGGAGATAAAGAGACATCTGCATCCTAATCTTGCCCCGTGGTCTTCCGAGAGTTCATAACTGTCAGGGTCAACTAAGCTGTAAGCTAGGGAAGGATAAATAGCTGTTGATTTGTCGTTAGAAATGAGCCTGCTACAAAGCGGTTAACCTAGTGGGAAGGCTGTGTGGTCATGTTAAGGTCTTAGAAAGTTTAGTGGTCTCACCAAACAGTAAATGTTTTTTTATTAGTTCATCAACTGGGAAGGACATAGCAAGTTCCAACTGAGCTAACTGGTGAACACAACCAGTAAGAAACAGGTTATCTTACACAGTTATCAGTCTGCTTCCTGTCTCAAGTTGTGAATACAATTCTTCAAAGTACGCTTTGTCATAATAAGCTTATGAATCAGATTTCTGACCCGCCAAAGCCGCTTTTTCAGAAAAATAAATTGGCTAACATGTAGCTGTTAAGGAAGTGCTATAAAATCTGCTCTCCTATTAAAAGCAAGAATCCATTTCTGTCAACAAAGGCCTTCAACCACACGTCCAAAAACCCTGCAGTTCCTCTATCATAAGCAGTAATAAGCACATCATATTTCAGCAATAGGCATGCGATCTGATGTGACATGTTATTTTCTCTCTGCCCTTCTTTTTCCTGGATTGTGATCAATGTTTTTTCTTCTGGATTTAAAGAAAACTCACATGAACTAAACGATGAGGAACGTGCGCGCCACATGACATCCTCGTTTCTCAAGGCAAGAACTTTCCATCTATCGGTTTTTGCATCATACATTGTACATAGATGACTAACAGGAAAACAACCAACCTTTATAGGACTATAAATGTGGTTGCTAACAATTGTAAACAAATGCAATGATGCAATCTGCTCGACGGTCTGGCAGAACTCTTCTCTCCGGACCCCCCCCCCCCCCCCCCCCCCCCCCCCCCCCGCAGTCTGCATCTCTTCACATCACCTCTTCTTCCTGTGTCTCACTCAGTTGGAGACAACACTGTACCAAGTGTAGCATGACTATGTCAAAGGTTAGGCACGCTGTGGTGCGAGGCCTTCTCTCTACAGAGATACTTTAACATTCATAAGGCTGTGTTTGAGTGACAGCTAGCAGTGGGTAAGCACACCAAGAGCATGTGAGTATGAGGTGTGATCGTTGTACGTTTGTGTCTCTTTTGTCTGCCAGACACCGCAGCGCAGCGGGGCGCCGACATCAGAGAGAAGTTCAACAAATCCTTGGATAGATTTACACACATGCTCCTGACGCCTGACTATTATGACATGTCTTGACCAAGTGAAAAGCTGCTTTAATATTTTGTCCTCTTAGCGTAAGTGATCCTTTATTCAGATGATAAATGGCACGTTTTTTTTTTTTTTTTTTGCACTGTTTCCATCAGTGATTACATATATTCTCTCACAGTTTACATGTGCTTCTGATAAAAATGTCTGCCAAGGAACGTGCTGTAGGTTAAAGCGCATGTGTGCAGTGTTAATGATTCATTGATTTGTATATGTAGTGGATTTTGTGTCAACATAATTATACAGATACATGATTAAACTCTGGCGCTAAATGAAAACTCAAAACACAGACGCATGCTAATACGTGTTGCTCGTCTGCCAGTAATCATCTGCGGCAGCATGCTGTTATTAGGAATTAACGCCAGCATAGTGGTGAGAGTCATGGCATAAACATCCTTCTGGGGAATCAGCCTCCTCTCACTCTGCATGTGCCCAAGCCACAAGCATCCCTGAGTTACATAACCGCCCTTTTATGCAGACGTCGAAATCCATGTGTCTTTTTGTTTTAAGGCCCTGAAGGCCACACAGATGGACAGTGAAATGAGGTTCCAATATCCTGATGCGATTAGCCAGGGGAGAATCTGTCATCTAGAAAGAGCGATAGAAAGGAGAATCTGATGTGTGCAAGTGCATTCTCCAGGTTTTTGAAATGAAAAATGTGCTTTGAGGGGAACGGGCCTGGTGTCTGCCAGATTCTCACTATGAGAAGTGAAACTAAAAAAACAAATAGTTGGACTACAGTGATGAACAACGGGGATTTTTGGAGGAAGGACCAGCCAGAGATCCATAGAAAATCAGACTTTATTAAAACTATTCATTTCTGGTACTCTGTCTACAAAACATTGTTTAATAGAGCACCTGACAGCAAATTCATTTACAGTAGATCATCATAAAGCGGTCCTAATTTAATATGCTGAATTAGGAATTAATTGTGTAACTGTATTCATTAGAGCATACCTTGTTTGCTTGTTTTAGGTTTAAAGTGCATTTCCTTAGTAGATTAAAAAAAAAAAAAATGATAGCACTCTTCAGAACCAGGAAGAGTAACCGTGCTTTTCCTTCACCACCCAAATGCTGTCAATCACTTTCCCATACTGGAACACACAAAGAAGTCAATGTTAACTTTTTTGGGCCTTTAAATAAACCCTCTCCACTTGCTATAAATGTGTACATGTGTGCTCACCTGGTCATCAGAGACCTGCTCCAGGTACAGGTGAGTGCTGTTCACCACGTGCATGCGGGTGTAGCCGTAGTCTGTGCTGCGGAAGGCGCTCCACTCTTTGGGGTTTGGGTTGAACCTGTCAGTCTTCTCTCTGCAGCCCTGCAGAGGAATTAGCGGGGTTTAAAGTAGATCTGTTGTTGATGAGCTGCCCGCCCCCCACTCCAGCTCTATCCACAAAAACCCTGTGACATTTACAACTGTGGCTGCGCCTCGGCGTGAGTCTGGCTGCAGTTTGATATGCTGATGACTAATCCCTCTGCGGTTAGGTGACGAGGCAAGTCCTGCACTGCTCTCCACCACATCAAAAAAGACTTAACCATAGAAACAGCTGGCTCTGAACCATGTGGCATACCAACTGCTGCACAGAAGGGACTTCGAACAATGCAACTTTGTTTTTGTTGATGCTGCTGTCAATTTATGATTTGACATTGGTGGAAAAATTCTGATGCAGTGATGTAAAATTACTTACAGCAGAGCCTGTGATGATGTGAACGGGAGCTTTTGGGTTCACATAAGGCTGCTCTTTGCTCCCATTGAACACCTTCAAGAGAAAAAACACACAAGTCTCGCTCACTGATCCAAAACAAAGACTACAGAAATAAGAATACGGTGAGGAGCTGACCTTGTCACCGTAGACGGGCCACAGCCTCTCGTATGTGTGCTCATGCGCCCACAGCTCCACATCCACCCCTGTGAAAGAGATTTGATGATAATCGGCATCTTCAGTAGAAAAATAACCAGCTCAACGTCTCAATTTAAAACATTTAGCTGTGAAATCTCAAGTTTCTCAGATCCATTGCCCGTTTAATTCTGAGCTTTTCTCCGCAATGACCAAAATCTTCACATCAGAGCAACCAAAACCTCCTAAGTTCCACAACAAGTTCGGTAATTAAATGCAACAAACAGAAGTGTGAGACATGTAATACAAGGCAAACATTAACAAATGGGGCTCTTGGGACCAAAGGCTTGTTTTTTATAAAGGATGTTAGAATTGCTCTGCTCTCAGTAACTTTTAGGATATATGTTTGTCCTAACCGATTGAGTGTGTAAATACCATAGCGGTAGAATAGATCCTCTAGACCCGGAGCTGTTGGTTTGGTGTCATTCCTTCCCCGTCTGACCTGAGATATAACAGAGAGGAATAATAACAGCAAGAACTGGCACCAGTGTCTGAAACTTTACCTGCTACCTGAAATACAACCTGGTAAGGCTCCACTTCACCCATGCCAGCCTCAGTCCAAACTGTGCCAAGTGCTGAGACAAGAAAAGTCTAAGTGGAAACTATTTAATCCAAATTAAAGTGATTATGACAGCAGGCTGTGCTGAATGTGCTTACGGGCTATGATGAGGACTGGCCAGCTTGCAGTAAATGTGACACGTCTACTACCAGGTGTGATTGAAATTTCAGGCAACATAACAAATATGAATCCTACGAAAAACTTTATGTGATTACACAAAAAAACGCTGTACCATAGACATGTGATACTCTTTGCATAAAACCGATGAGATGAATAATAAACACTTTGGTGATCTTTTGCTAAATGTTTGTATGTTCATGGTCTGATGTATTTTGCTCAGCAGAATCAAATAAACCCATTTAATAGACACATATGCATACACAATGCATAACTTAGGACATCTGTGTAAAAGAGTGTATGACTTTACTGACAGGATTCAGTGGTTTACATACATAGGAGTCAAACGTGGTGCAGTCGTCCTGGTCGTCATCAGAGCAGTACATGGGTCTGTGTCCCATGGTGATGATCCAGGGACGTACTGCACGGTTCTCCGGCTTGTTGGCCTCCTGGGTTTAGACAATTTTATTTTGAAAAGAAAGAGAAATCATTGCATTCAAAGTGGAGCAAAAGGAAAATGGAACAAAATCAACATTGTGTTAGAGGCAGAGAGGCGAGTGTGGGAACAAAACCAGAGCACTTTGCCATCATCAACACATGTAAACGGTGCGGCCATTAACCTCCAGGTCTTTCCTCAACCACTCGTACTGCTTGAAGAGGAGCTCCAGGCCGAACTGGAGATAGAAATAAACCTCGGTGGAGAGGGAGATGATGTGCGCTGACCCCAGGTTCCAGCTGCGGACACAGATCGTTAAATTGATACACAGCCTGACCCAGTGGAGGAAGCATGCTGAAAATGAGCAGTTAAGCGAGAACAGACCTCGCTGTTCACTCAAGATAGTGTGAAAAGTACTCCAAAAGTCTGTCTCTGACATTTTGCTGTTGAATGCGATGCCAGATCCACTTTACAGACTCTTTCTTTGCTTTGTGTGCTTTCATGTTCTGATGCAGGCTTGATGGAAAAGCATATGTTCTCTACATGTGTAGCGCATGTTATAAACTGAAAAAGTTTCCAGAAGCAGTCCTGTGGTTTGATTGTTCCTCCAGTTTTCATAACCATGCACATGGAGCCATGGCTCTCAGCCAGCAGGCCTGGCTGCGTCTAGACCCTGGGACTGAGGAGTGGGCAGCTGGTCTATGATCTAGTCTGGTTTTATCTTTCTGTCTGAGGAGGTCTGCAGTGAGCTATGAGTCACCCAGTAGGATGTATAGTCCCATTGTGTAGTCCTCCCTGGTCCCTGAGATAGGAGAGGCAAACTAAACTAAGAGAAGGGCACTCTGCACTCCTCTGCTGCCAACTCCTCTGGGCGGCCTCTTGCAGCTCATTAATGCTGACTGAAATACAGTAGCAGGCTTGCTAAACCTAAATATGATACTTCACATGGGGCCTCTGTTGGAAAATAAATTATTTCTCTTGCTCTGTGTGATTCCAGCATCCTCTTCTTGATCTATCTGCTGTAGACACACGATTTAAGCAAGTCGACGACCACCTTAACTAATGCAACAACTGGCTGTATTATTTCTCCCAGGATCTGCAAGTCCACCTTTTTTTTGAATTCCTTTTCCTCACCTGTACCACAGGCTCTCGGTCTTGCCTGGCATGCTGAACCGATTCCTGTAGTTGGAGAAGTTACTGCAAACAACAAAGATAAAAGCTGGTTCAATGGACTGATCATGCAATTCAAGTTATTTGAAGACCGCAGACTTTAAGATAGATAAACTTGATTTCGACACAACTTGTCACAAACACTAAACACATAGCTTACATTTAAAACACAAAGTGCAGCAACTGATAAAAACAGGTGTTGTGCAGTGTGCCGTTTAGAGTTCAGGGTTCAGGGTGTGCTCTTTCTTACTTTGTGGTGCCTATGCCAGAGCTGTCACAAAAACAAACATGGAATCTGCACATCATTCCTCTCAAGAGAATTCTCAGCTTTGCTTTGAAACCAGCATTTCTTTAAAATGACCGCCTCGTTCTGCTGCAATCATTTTTTGTTTTCGTGCCGCACTTAAATAAAACTCTCAAATATATATATTAGAGGTTGAGCATGACCATTAAACTGTTGTGCTGACATCTGTGTCAAACGTTAAATACATGTCTCTAATTTTAGAAATTCAAAGAAACCGTACACTTTGCTGTAGCTGGACTATCAGTGGCTAGCTCTTCAAAATTAAAGGCTTGAAAACGTGATCTCAGCCTCTGTGACATCCCTCTACTAGTTTATGATAGCATGTCATTGAGTTTAAGATCATGGTCTTTTTTTTTTTGGAGCCAGATGATCAAATTTAGGGCCCAGTGTGGAAGCTTGGGTGGAGCTGAGATGGAGAGAGCGAGCCGTGATGCATCCGTCAATCAGGGGGGAAAAAAGGCCGGTAAATATACCCCTCTGAAAACCATGACATCTTCCCTAAAGAGCCCCATAATTTGAAATGTAGCATCCATTATAGGAATTAAATCGTATGTGACTTCCACAATAATTTAACCGCTGAGTTGTGGTGCTTCATGCTTGATCCTGACTAAGTAGGATGCTTTAAATGCTCAATCCATGACTTAAACCTTTCCCTCACTGCTACCACGAGTCCATGCCACTAAAGACCAGCAAATGATTCACAAACAAGTTCTTTTAGACAAGAAATATTCAAAAACAAACATCCAAGAGTGCACCGTTATTTACATTCTCTCCACTACAATGTGTACTGAACTCCTTCATGGACTTCTCTCCCTGACGACAAATCGCCAGTCTCTTTTCACGGTTTTTAATTTCAGCCTGAGCTAGCTTACCTGAGCTAGATCCTAGCTCAGGTAAGGATCTGAGCTTACCTGAGGATGGCTGGAGGAACCAAGAGACCTCCAGCCATGCTGAGTAAGTCTTCAATAATGAGAGCAGAAGTTTAAGTGGACACTAAGGTCAGTGTTAAATGGGCAAGGCTTCAGTGTGAGCTGTGATCCTTCAGTTTAAAGGAGAAAACCATCTGACTCAGCATCTCTTTTCATCCTTTTAGTGTCTATCCTAATACTATCCACCCAATTCAGAATCAGCCTTTTTGATAAGAAGCTCAGACTTCCTACAAGTCACAAAAAAGAAAGCTAAAATAGACAGAAGTGTCTGTAGAGGAACTGAAGCGGGAACAGTCCTTTACATGTGTTCATGCTGCCATCTTGTGGCCGGGGCCAGTATTTAGCAAAAATGCAGGGAGATCTGGGAAGGTCCCATGTAGTTAAGAGAAATAAACAATTATATTCTCAGTCAGTAAAATAATACACGTTCTCTCTAGTAATACAAACAGAGTGATGTAACTTGGCATGCCCTGAGGGAGAGGCTTATAGCTGCCGTAAAAAAAAAAAACTGCAGACTTAAGTTTTAAGTCTTTTGTTTTCTGGTTCAGAGAGAGGGAAATCTGATTGGCTACAAATATGATAAGCCTATATTTGCCTTATTAATCTTCACTGTGGGAGACCTACTTAGAGTGTGAGTCACCCTCTGTAACCCAAAGCGTGTGTGTTTTGGTTTCTCGTTAAAATGTTATGGAGATAAAAATCTGGTCGCTGTCTAACTCAATGTGGACATCCTGGTTCTTAAACTGACCCAACAAGTCTCATCAAGCCTCCCCTTTCATCATCTGATGAGCTTAATCCCGGCCGTTAGAGGGATGAAAGGGAGCAGTTGTAGTCTTCAGGAGGCATATCACTGACGGCCATCACAGGACATTGTTTTAGGCAGCGACGGTTATATCTCGGTCCCTCGGAGGGCCTGATGAACCTTATTGTGCTTCTGGGAACAAAGACAGTCTTGATTGGGGCCTTAGCATCTTCTGTGGATCCTCTGTTCTCATCCCGCTGGAATGCTGACTGAAAACGTTTGTGGTCTGCCCTGTTTCAATTTTCTCTCTACCCATGAGCTCTTGAGGTCGGAAAGAGAGGAACAGAGGAGTATAGAGAGAGAGAGAGAGAGAGAGAGAGGGAGAAAAGCAGGAGCAAGCTGCTGGGAATATTTTGATTCTTCAAAACACCGCAGAGCAAAACACAAATTAAGGTATAGGAGCTGGATTTCTGGTTATGTAACACAGCGAGCAAGTTTGTTCTCGATATCAAGTTCTCATGTCGGGATGCGGCGCCAAGAAAAAGAGACTACTGTTAGCAGCTCCTTAATAAGAACCAGACAGACGTCACATCACACATGGCAAGGCCAGGCGAGAACCGTCTCCCTATCGGAGCAGCAAGTCAATATTATGTTGCAAGATCAGGCACCTAAAAAAGGTTTTAAAAAGCACAAACAAACAACCGAACCCAGCAAATGTGCTTGGAATTAAAGGGACGCATAAGTTGCTGATGTGTGGTATTAAAAGCATCTGAGGTCACTTAAGTTTTGCTGTCTCAACATTATAAGAGTCTTTAATCATCTTCAACTCAATTCCATTTCGCTGAACTTGAAAATGTACCCTAAAGGCCCCGACACATCAAGGAGATTGTTGGCCGTTGGAAAGGAGCCACAGGTCGGATCCGAGCCCTGAGCTTGTATAGCGCTTTTCTAGTCTTTTAACTACTCAAAGCACTTTTACACCACAGGTCACACCCACCCATTCACACGCTGATGGCAGAGGTTGCTATGTAAAGTGTCTGTCAGTCCATCAAATCCAACCTTCACAACATGGCCCTAAGACTCTAACTAGACTTTTCTTCTTTGTCGCCCCCCAGTGGTGGAACGAACTTCCTAACTCCATCCGATCGGCAGAGTCCATTTGCACCTTTAAGAAAAAGCTAAAGACCCAGCTCTTTCATGAATACATACGACCTTACTGATATTATTGATGATGTTAATAATGAGAATGACGATGGTTTTGTCTGATAATGACAATTTTAAGATGGTTTTGATAGCGATTAGAACTCTCAGGAACAGCCGTCGATGTTGTGCTTTACCTCTTTGCAATGCCTGTCAGCAACCTGTGCGTCCGATGGGACGTAAAGCTGATCATTTGCACTTACTGACATTGTTTCCTCAGCTCTAGATCCTTGCTTGTGTTGTACTTTCTCTCTGATTTACGTCGCTTTGGATACATCTGATAAATAAATTGTAGAATTGTAGAATCAGTATTAACTAATCACATTCATACGCATTCATACGCCGCAGACGAGGCAGCAGGAGAACCTTGGGGTAGTGTCTTGTCTAATGACACATCGGACATGTGGCAGCAGGAACTGGGGATCGAACTGACTCCACCAACTGAGCCGCAGCAGCTCCAAGTGGCAAGGCTGCTTTGTTGTGTTTTTCTGCAGTTTTAAAAATTAACATAGTTTATATTTGAGCTGTTGCAAAATAGAGAACAATTGTCTGCCATAGATTCACAGTTGCATATTTTGTCTGAATAAGAATCCATAGCGAAAAGGTAATAAATTAACATTCCTGCAAGAAAAGATAAAAAATCTCCACGTCCAAGAAGCTGTAACCAGGACATGTTGAGACATTTGGCTTGAATAACAACAATTATTCAATAGGTTGTTCAGTCCAGAACGTTTCTCTGACTCAATTGTGATCAACACATTCAGGGGAGATGAGTGAAAACTCAGACAGAGTTCCCTTCACCACTGGACCGTCTGACTCTCTGTGAGCTGAGAAACAGATAGTGAAATCTGATCATTCCCAGTCAGATAAATGTGTGTTTTGGAGAGCGCTGCCTTGTTTAGATGTTGGTGGTTTCTGACACCGCTCCAGCCTTTGGCGACCAAAATAGCTCCCATCTGTTCAAATGGTACAATGAGGAGTTTTTCTGCAGGCCACAGTTTGTTCTTTATGAGGGAAGAACGGCAGCAGACCAGAGAGAGGGGGAGTCGGTTATTCTCCTTCAAAAATCCTGCACGCAAACTTTGCATTTACAGTAGCCAGTTCTGAGAGTCATTTGTCATGTGGAGTCTTGCACGTCTCTCTCACCACTTTGTAATTCAGCTCGTATCAATGTTTTTACCCCAAACCACAACAGCTATGTGCCCCCCTGTTCTGAGCATGAACGCTTCCATGTGCACTCAAAGGTTACTTAGGATTGTCAGGATACCAGAAACTTAGAAAAAAAAAATCAAACATAAGCAATACCTCTTTCTATAGCAAGGAGACAAAACTAGAAGTCCTAATCACCCAATAGAGAATTGTCTTGTTTTTAAATGACCAAATATGGCAGGCAAACTCCTGCACTCTGTCTAAACTGAACAGAACATTGGCACTGATTCGGGACTGGAACGTTGCCAATGTGTTTAGACAGTTAAGACAGTGTCACCTCTTCTGCTTTCCGTCAGATTGTGAGAGACATGAATGTAACTTTAAAGCCAAAAGTTGTTGAAAACCTCAGAGAGAACTTCTATGTCTTGCGGCAGCTTTAGGTTAAAATAACACTGAAGATATGTGTTTTTTTTTTTTTAAGTTCAGTACTTTCAGATATTATCAAACTTTTAAAAAATAAGGACATCATATAATTTTAAAACACATGCTATCGAATAAATATCTACAATTTTGACAACCTCACTGGCTCTGTTTAAATTTCCCAGTCACAATAAAGAGATGTACTTTATATCATGTGTGTCTGAGCTTATTTTTAAAGACAATACACACTAAATGGATGGGCATATATTAAATGACACTTACTATGTTGCTTCGTGGTTGCCTGGACAGGTCATGTAGGGCACGTAGGCAGCTATGGACTCGACCTGCCTCATGAACTCGTCTCCAATCCTGGCATTGTCCTGTTAAAAAGGGACATTCAGCCATTACACGAGGCCAAAGATCAGAGAACAATATTACGCCATATTCATTTGAATGAGCATGTGAGTCTATTTCTCTCACAGCGTCAGGAAGGAAAAAGAAAGATGAGTCTTCAAAACAAAACGCTTTGTCCCTTAAAAATCTCACTTTGGTTCATACTGCACTGATGGATTCTACCTGCCACAGTCATTCATTCCCTTCCTCTGTCTGTTTTTGTAGTCAGTTTATCAGTGAAGCCACAGGATGTGCTCACACATTCCAGCTTGGCTGAATTATGGTTATTCTTTTTTTTTTTTAGTAGTCTGCTGATTGCATTTCGCATTTTTCCATATTTGAAAAAAACAAAACATGAAGTATTCATGAACTAGAAAGAATTATATTAACATCAAGACAGGGTTACGTTTGCTTAATATGAGTGATGACAGTTGGGAGGTTTGTAAGGTGAGCAACATTGATGTCAGGACTTCATATTTGGGGTTATGAATGGTGCAATTTTTTTTCCAAGAAATCCTGTGGTGACATCACCGCATATCTTTAGCAGCAGGTTGAAGCATCCACAGAGTGAGTAAACACGAGATGTGTGTCTCAACCGCAGCTGAGGGACTTTGTATTCACGGATCATACACAGCGGTGAAATGGCTTTCTGACAAATAGGTTATTGATGAAGAACAATTGATGCCAATGATAGAAGTGAAACTGTATGTGATCAGAGTTCACGATATTGAAGAGACAGAAGAGAAATGAATACCTCATGCATGTCGTAGGCAAAGTCCCCTAGGAAACAAACGTACAAAATTCACAAATTAGAACCGATCCTAAAGTTTTCAATACAATTTAATGAAATCATTCTGTCATCAAACACAGCTTTACCTACAGTACAGGGAGGATGCACTTAAGGAGATAGTTAAACATCAGATCACTTTTATTTGCAGAGAGATCAGAAGATTGATTCCATCCTCACGTTAAATGTTCAATGTGAAAGTAGAACCAGGGGGCTGATAATTAGCTTAACATAACATCTGCTGGGGCGCAATGGTTAGGGCGCGCACCCCATGTATGGAGGCTGTCGTCTCAAGCGGCGGCCCGGGCTCGCATCCCGCCTGTGGCCTCCCTCCGCATGTCGTTCCCCACTCTCTCTCCCTGGTTTCCGATTCTATCCACTGTCCTATCTCTCCATTAAAAGGCCAAAAAGCCCAAAAATAAATCTTTAAAAAAAAAAAAAAAACATAACATCTGCTCCCTCTAAAAGTAAACTCCTCTGGATTACCCTCAACTATAAACCTCACTAAACAAGAATGTTGAATCTTGTTTTTTTAAATCAGCATAAAAAACAAAATGTCTACATGACTTTTGAAGGTTTTAATTTGCTGGCTGATTCCTTCTGCTTCTTGTATTTATGCTCAGCTAAATTAAGTTAGCTAATCTGCTGCTTTACGGTATTAAACTTCTCATCCAACTGTGATTAGGAAAACAGTGAATCTTATTTCTAAATATTGTTATGTACAAACTATATCATATTGACCAGTGGACAATTGTTAGTCTCACTGAGAAGTCTGATCTGGATTCATGAGGAACACAGTTTTGTATTTCAGCTCTGTGATCTCGTTAATAGATTCACTTAGCGATTCATTTGACGAGCCAGGAAAAGAAGAAGAAAAACATGTCTGTTTCTTCAATCGCTGGCATGAAAGTGAGACAGAGGGTACAATAGACAGAGAAGCAGACTAATTTTCAGGGGAACACATTTTGGTTCAACACATAAACATTTTCCTTTAAATATCAACCTCTTAAATGTGCCAGCAAGTGACCGCCACAAAACCCATACAGTAATGCTCCAGAGCCAGAATCTCAACGGAGGCATGGTACTGTTATATTGAATACAGTTACTACCTGATGTATGATACATTACTTCTTTATTAGACTTTTTTCTGTTGGACCCCATTTAAATGAATGCTTACATCATTTGTCCTAAGCTAAGTCCTGCTGAATGTTGACTTTGGCGTCAGACAACAGATAAAACTGAACACCTCGTCGCTGCTTTAACAGTTCAAATAATACTGATATTAATAATTCAAGTGTAGTGTGGAGGTTACCTATGTGCAGGATAGCATCGTACATGCTCAGCTGCGTCTCCTTCTGCAGTCGAGCCAGAGACTGAGGGTTCTCATTGCCAAGGTCACCGTACAGAGCAAACCTGGGGCTGAAACGTGTGCTGTCATTCAGAGCAGTGAAGAAGAACACGTCGCTCCAGCCGTCGTTGCTCCCACAGTGGTAGACTGTCGTTAAAGGGAAGGAGAAAAAAAACTCTTGAAGATGTATGTGTGGGAAAACACTCTGACAAGGCAAAGGTCAAAGTCAGTGATGTAAAATCTCCACCCACCATATGTAGAGGCAGCTTTGAGGCCTGTGAGAGTGACTCTGTGGATGAACATCTTCCTCTTCTCCTCTCCAGAGTCGACAAACAAAGTAGCGTCGCCTGTGGCCGTCATCTCAAAGAGCCGACCCCCCAGAAGGCCGTACTCCACCTTGCTCTCTGTTTTATTAAAGGTGGTCCAGGTCACCAGCATAGACCCCGGCTCTCCTGTGAATGAAGCCACTGTTCACTGGAGTTGAGGTGCAAATTGATCAGACAGAATTATAGGATTCATGTACTCATGCATTTATAGAAGCTGTGCAAATGAGGAGGCTGACTTTGATCTTGCAGATAGTCAGACGCACCAGAAAGCTGAGTGAAGTACTCATTTCATCAAGACGTCGACTCATTAAGTGACAACCTTCACCATAAAGTAAAAGAAAATGAATGCTGCAAAGCCTCTGAGGAACAAGAGTGATATTAACTGTATTGAAACAAATTGAATGACTGGGTTTCTTAACAATACCACTCTAAATATAACATGTCAGCTGTTGCATGTAATAAACCTTAATAATTCATCAATGCCTTCAGTTATTTATTCAGCTTCATAAAATAAATCACACTGACTTTTTTGATTTCAACATATCTAGAGGTGAATCAGACTTCAGTCAGACCTTAAAAAACAAGCAGAGCTTTCCAATTATATATCAGGGTTTGTATCCATTATTGTATCTGTTTATTTTTTCCCAGTAAAAAACATCTGTACATTTGCAAACCATTCGGCTTAGAAACTAGTTTGTCGTGTGTAGTTCAGTGTTTTTGGAGAGTAAAACTGTATCCCTCAGCAAATGGAAACAGTTCAAACACCTACCCGGATAAGAGAGGTGGACCTGCTCTGGTTGGGTCCAAATTGGAGGAACACCAAGCACGAACAGGGGTGCAAGGCTGAGCAAAGCCCAGGCAGCACGAACAGGTCCCATTTTAAAACTGGACAGAAGGAGCAAACTCGCTGACAACAAAACCATAACTTTTATATCACTGTAATCACATGATGCTTATAGTTGTCATTCAAACATCACATGACACAGTGTCCTGACATAAAACCAAAGCAATCAATGTGTGTCTTTGGTACTATGACACAATTCTGCTTTAAAATATCTTACCTGAACTTAGCGCCTGTTAACATAAGACCTCACTGGAAGCCTCACACACACACACACAGCCCATGTTTTGTCCTCTGGTGAGAACGTCTACATCAGTGAACCCGAATGATGAAACTGCAGAAGTAAAACATCAAGAGTCAGCTAGAACCGCACGGAAACAGATGATGTGTCAATAAAAGCAGCTGATGTTGTTTGCCTTTGTGCATTCAGTGGAGTTATTGCTGCCGATGTGAGCTCAAGTACAGCACAGGGGATTAGCCCACAAGCCACAGCTCTCCCCAGATCAATGAAGTGCTAACATAAACAGCTGATAGGCCTGCAACGATCAGGAGAAGGGTCACAGCTCATGCAGGCAAAAGCATCAAAGATTCATTTTAGCCTGCCCATAAAAACAGTACAAGCAGATTCATCATTCATCAGCTGTGATAACTGTCTCTCCTAGTTCAGACAGACAGGCCTGGTGTGATCAGCTGACTTAAAAACCACGAGTGTAAACAACTTCTTCAACCGAGGATTGGGTTTGAAATTTGCACCATTGATATTGAATTAGTCGCTAGAGGGTGCACATCACACAAACTGCGTTATAAAAAAGGAGGCTTTATTCTCTAATCATGGGCGGGACTCGCAGTTAAAATTGCATGGCAGTTTGTTAGTCGTCAAAGGAAACTCAAACTCTGTTAGGAAACGAAAACAAGGTGAGTATCCTACACCACATAACGAGTTTAAAGTCAGTGGTTTCACGCTCTTGTAAGGCATTTAAAGAGTTGCCATAAGGAACAATGTAGTCTATATTTTCATCACCACTGTCTGATCGCGACGTTGAACTGGGTTTGACCCGGGGATGTTTTCCTATTCTTTCACCAAAGGGCGAATTCGTACTTCTGTTATGAACAACTACAAAGCGTGGGGATATCGTTACGCCAAATCTAACTATTTCTTTATCTTAAACTAATAACACTTACAGTCTGAGTTAAGAGCTGGCTGTCCAAAAGTAACACTATGAAAAAGATAGAAGAAGATAGCTTAATGTTAAATTAGCTCCTAAAAAGACTCAGTGTTCAGCTGTTCGGCTTGGAAACACTTCCTGGTTGCGTAAAAGAACAACAATGCCCACGTGGATTGTGGGAAATTGTGTTTTTGGTATGTTTTGCCTGGGATTTTTTTTTTTAGTTTTTTTTTTCTTGTTTGCTTGTTTGTTTTATTTTTGTATTTTGGCTGGCTGAGCATGTTTTGCCATCTCTAAGCCCATAACAAATTGCTGAATGAATTCTGTCAATAAATTAAGATACAACTTTTTTTTTTAAATTGCTGACCTGACTAGAATGGGGATGAGCTGTGTGTTTTATTGTATTTAATGATGTCTCACAATTATTTATAACTAAGTAAACAGGTTTGGTCTGTTTCCCTAGGTATAATGGACTCCAACAGTGAAGATGGAGAGTACCAAAACCTTGACCATGCCTTACAACGTGATGAAACCCCGTACAGAGTGACATATACTCATGGAAGAAACACTAAACATGTGAGCAGCATGACACACACATCATTTTAAACTGCTGTAATTCTGTATACTGGACCTTTTTTTCTATTTAGAGTTGTGAGATTTATCTCCATGCAAAATGTTATTTTTAAATGCAGGAGGACTACAATAAAAATGAAGAGCTCCCCAAAAAGAGGTAGGTCATGCGTGTTTTGTGGCTATATTTCAGCGTGTGAGTGTGTCGTGTGATTTAGTTTTCAGCAGAATGTTTTCTGCCTGCCCAGGAATCCAGTGAGTCGCTCTGGCAGTGGCAGATTGAAGCGGGTGGTGTCATGTAAGAGGAAATCTTATCATCTGTCGGTGGCTCGGAGGAAGCAGCTGGGGAGCGGAAGGACTTATGATGCTGCAAACAAGGAGAATGAGATGAACTGCATGCAGGACATGCATCAGGAGATATTTGACATGGACCCTTGGGAGTTTCCTCTAAGTGTCAACAATAACCACAAGACTGGTAGAACTGGTTCTGAACAAGCAGACTACAGTATGCTCACTGAGGTCAGACATACTGCACGGCTGTGACTTCACTTCTGTTTCTTGTGTTGTTGAGTTTTTTGAGCAATAACAGTGTAACTGATATGCAGATTATATCTGAACCTGACCATGTTTTTCAGCTTACAAAGGATCACAGCACAATGATTGATGTGCTTTTCGGGAGAAACCTGAGGCTTAAAGTATCTTTAACACTCTGGCAGAGAAATGTTGGAGAGCTGCTGACATACATTCTGAGGTAGGTACACACTGTATGTTGTTGCTCTTAAGAATGAGACATACAGCATGATTGCATGAATTCAAAAGTATTTTAAATGTACTTCCTTTGTACAGAATCCAAGACATCGGCGTGTTAGTTGATTTTCTCCCAATGATAAGCAAAAGGTGAGTGTCTAAAATGTTCCAAAGGTCTGAGTGATTACAGGTGGAGTAAACATGACTTAGAATCAAATTTTTGGTTGCAGCATTGACGAGGATTCTCCAAGGATCACTATAGGCTGTTGTGTTGACCTCTTTCCATTAGTAAAGAAAGTCCTCACCAATCCATATGAAGAGTGAGTATTCCTGCTGTCATGAACTTTAACTGACAGTTAAATGCAGGATAATTCATGTGCAGAAATGCAAACGTCTAACGGCTGTCTTGAATTCTCACAGGTATATTACGGTTGGTTTAAAGTGGATCAATTCAGTTTTGATAAACTGGTGGGAGGAACTTAGAGCAACTGGCTACAGTGGGTCGACTTCAGATAAGTGAGTGTTGTACTGTTTATCACAATGTACTTAGAGTAAGATTTCTATGCAGAACATTTGATTGAGCCATTTTGATTTGACACGCGTCATACTAGTTAAGTAGCAAAACACTCTGCGCACTAAAAACAAAATAATGCTATACTATCATCATTTTATCTTACTCTATTACAGAAATTTCCAGCTTTTTAATCAGCAATTATTGGAATTGTGGCATCAGCAACCTTCACTGAAATCTGTCCCAGGAACTGCTGGAGACATTGCAAAGGTCAGTGTCACATGTATAAATAAATCATTTCCACTGTTGGCTTTGAATTTTCATACAAAATGTCCTTATCTTGTGAATGTCATTCTTACCCCTTAGGTGATTGATTCCTTCCTGTCCCAGCTCACCTGATGACAGAAGAGGCTGATCAGTGTTTGTTCTCTGCTGGCACAGCACAGATTGAAGGAAATCCTTGAATATGCAGTTTTTTCCACACAAGAAATGCCTATAAAAAGTTCCTAACTGCCCTGATGTGATGACTGTAAAACTTCTTTATTGAAGTTATAAACTCTTTATTTCTTTTTGTATTTATTGTCTGTCAGAGCAACTTGAAAATAAGTTTAGAAAAAGTGCAATTGAAGTTCTAATGTGTTGTAAAGGCAATTTAATTTGACCAGAAGGATGTTGTAAATATGACCACATTGTGAGTTTCAGTGTCACACAGAAAGTAAGACTTGTTCTTTGACATGTTGTGTGTCTGTTCCAATGAATTCTCAAACTGGTAATTAATAAATGTATCATTTAAAATTGTATGTAGTAGGTTTTTTTGTGGTGTGTAACCACCTTCTCTAGTGTGAGATAATCTTACTCTAAGTACATTGTGATATTTTTGCAAAACACACACTGCAGTAGAACCGTATGTTCTGTACTCTAACACAACACTGTACTCAACCTATGTTGGATGAAATATCAGGAAGGAATAAAAGCTACCAGATCACCACACACATTCTAGCACAATGCAATCTCACCTGGACTTCAGCCTCATTCAGTCCTGATGGGATTTAAGTCAAGCTGAGATATGGGTTTAAAATGCTCATATCTCTCCGTTTACATGTGGCTTTATCTTACTTGACACAGATAAGTGGAGGGCTGATGTCATTGTGATGTGAACCCAAGGCTGAAGTCCAGTTGTGACTGGGCAGGCTGGCAGGCGTTGTGCGAGGATTTCGGTAAACTCTTACTGTAAACTCTGCTGTCGAAAGCACTGTTTGCATTCAGTCAGTGAAGACTAATACAGCAAAGATTTTATGTACTGGTAAATGATCTGAAGGTAAGCACACTGATATTACATTTTACATTCCTTCCTCTTCTTAAGTGTTTTTCACTAAGTTCTTCTAATTCAGTAAGACATTTGCAGTACTGTATCAATAACGAGAAACTATTGATTTGAAAGCTGAGTGAAGAAAAGGATGAAGAGTTTGAGATACTGGCTGCCAGTGGGGGCCATGCTGCTTCTTAGTGTGGCTGGAGTCGACATGAAGCATCTCCAAGCTGAGAATCTAAATCTCATCCCCCCAGATCAGCATAACTTGGTCTTGAACCCCGGAATGAGAGGTAATGTAGACTTTCACTTTCAGTTTGACTTTTGTTTAACTAGGTTTACCTGTAAAACATTGATAAACAGTGCTGGTGAACAGTTGTCATCAATCTAATGACAAATTCATGGCATTAATGTTTAGCAAGAGTAGCTTTGTCACATAAATTACTAATGATGGGAATTATGCAGAGTGGTTCAAAAGAAATAGTTCAAGATTTTAGGATCATCCATTGTGTTTCTTGCCAAGAGTTAGATCAAAAGATTGATACCACATATGTACAGCAAATATGATGCTACAGGCCTGTTAGCTTAGCTTAGCACAAAGACTGAAGAGGGTTAAAAGCTGTCTTGGAGGAAGTAACTGCGCCGAGCCTGGTCATAGTGTAACATAACCCCCCTGTCATTATATCACATTTTCCTATGAGCAGGTGCTTTTAGCAGTTGAAATATTCCCACTATTTGCAGTGTTTGTGCTATCTCTTAATTCAATCAAAATTTTGTTGTATTTGTATAATGAAACATACATACATGTCAGAAGATATATATACAATCCCCATTGTAGTGCTTAAAAACTTAGAGTTTGAAAGTTTCCCTGTAACCCACTGCCATTCTTTGCTAGTTTTGGCGTCTGTCAGCTAATCTTTTAGCATCAAATAAATCTGATGTGTTAGCTTTTAATACATGCTTATGAGGGATATTTTTATTTGCCCAACAGTGCTGCCCAGAGACTGCTATGAAATGCTCATGACGTCTTCAGGTACGGCCAGAGATGGCGTGTACCTGATCCAACCAGGCGATTCCTCCATTGTGGCTTACTGTGCCATGCAGGAGGGGGGCTGGACTGTGGTGCAGCACATCACCGTCAACAGCAGTGTGAGTTTCGATCAAACCTGGGCTGAGTACAAGCAGGGTTTTGGGGATGTAACTGGCGATCACTGGCTTGGAAATGAATACCTCCATCAGCTCACCAATGGCCCCGGCCGCTATAAACTGGGAGTAAAACTAGTCGACCGAAACGCCGTTACTAAGCTGGGGGAGTATGACCCGGTTCTGGTAGAGGATGAATCATCAGGGTACAGACTAAGGCTGGGGTTGTTTCAGGGCACAGCTGTAGATGCACTGACCCTGGACACAGAGAACTACCTGCATGACAACCAAAGATTTACCACTAAAGACAGAGACAATGACAACTATTTCCAAAATTGTGCAAAGCTGGAGTTTCAGGGGGTTCCAGGAGGAGGTTGGTGGTACGACGCCTGTGCTGGTGCCAACCTCAATCGCAGAAATGTCATCTACTGGCAAAAAGACTGCAACAAGGAGCGACTGTGCAAGTATGCTTGGATGATGGTGAGACCTTCAGACACAGTTAAACTAATTCACAGTGGAGACTGTAAGAAAGATGAACTGTGAGTAAGACACTCACAGGATATATGATGCTGCATCACACCGGGTATGAAGGCTATCGAGTGTGAATGTTTTTCGATATTTTTGAAAGGTTTTCTTCGCATACGAACATTCAATTCACCACATTTTATTCAGAAATGCATGGACATGATCACAAAGTACTGACACAAACAAAACATAAGTCACAAGCTCTGAACACAGTATAAAAATGCACAATGGTTTAGCTCAAGCTTCGTTTCCATCTTCACAATATATTAAGCAAAGCATCTTTTCATTACCCAAATCACAAGTGCAGAATTCTGGTTTATCACAGTTACAAAAATGTGCTTTATGACATTTTAGCTTATGACACATGTAAAACACCTTTTATATTTCAACTCTCATCATATGCTTACAGAACATTTCACAAACAGCATTTTTTTTGCCACAGTACACAACAATTTGTCCAGAAATGCCATCAAAATCAGATGATTTAGTTACAGTAAATGAGAGAAAAACAAATACTGTAACTCAAAGCTCGTAAAAAAAAAAGAAAATATCCTGAGGATGAAGAATAATAAACAGATCATAATCAATAGTGTTTGCCATTCCCATTGTAAACACTGACATTTTTTTGCAAGTTTGTATTGTAGCTAATTTAAAAGGACTAAAAAGCCTTTGTAGGGTTGGACTGCACAGATTGGGATTGAATTAGTTTCAGTGTGGGGGTTATTTATTAATTTTTGTGAAATGATTTTACGTTATACCACTGAGATTTTGCAGGATATCAAATATTTGTGAGAACAATAAAGCTGAGTCTATATTCATTCCTCTGACACATGGCACTGGCAACATATGAGAAGGCTTTGATTATCATCAAGTTACAATCTTGACTTCGCAAGCAGATTCTGACATCAGGACGACACTCATTAGCCCTTCCAAAGAAAGTAGCAATTCAAAAAAGTGAATTTCCAATACAAACACAATACAGTACCTACAAAATGAAATTTTTTTTTGTTTTTGGATGTAAGAGCATTAACTTCAGGGACACTGGCATTTTGTCATGTTTTTAGAACTCAAATAAAGTTTAAATTATTATTTTGAAGCAATTTTTCATGTTCTTTTCATACCAGACTGTTTAAGTTGAATAAACTGTGCAATTAAATATGATCTGTGTGTCAATAATATCTTAGAGTTTATTATAAATATCACTGATTTCAGTAGATTGGGACGGTTTCATTATGTTCTTCCATTACCAAAGTTTGAGCTGTATTTAGCCAAAACTAGCAGACCTACTGATTAATGAGCAACACTTTAAACTGTACCAGCCCCATTAGTATGTTTTATCAAGTAATTAATACAAACAGCCACAGTCATACATCATCTCAACATAAATAGTTCATGTAAGTTTAGCGCCGACCACAGGGTTTTGTCCGTACCAGTACAGCTTCTCCTCGATCCTTTTCTTCTTCCACTGGCAGAGTAAGAGCATGCGGAAGGTCTTCTGGAAAGTCTTGTTACAGAGGGCATAGCACATGGGGTTGACGGTGCTGTTGACGTAGCACAACCAGTAGCCCAGGTGCCAGAGCGAGACTGGTATGCAGTCCGAGCAGAACGTGGAAATAAGCACCATGATGTTATACGGCGTCCATGTCAGGATGAAGGCCAGCAAGATGGCGCTTAGAGTCTGAGCCGCTTTCCTCTCCTTAATCAGCACCATCCTCTTCCTCTTGGTGATCTGGTTCTTCAAAGAGCCATCTATGGGCTTAGATGTGGATGAAGTGGATGGAGCGCTCATGGATTCAGCAGAGGAAAATGTCGAAGATGCAATTTTGGTGTCTCCGTTCTTACTATTGTTCTCCACATGAGCGTCTTTGGACACAGGCTTGAACTTGTATGACACACCCTTGCTGCTTTTCTGAGAGTTGCTTTTGGGCGGTGTTTGGAAGAAGCTATCCTCTTCATAGCTGCTGAGCTGCTCGCTCTCACAGCCCACCCCACCCTTGATGGTCTCACAGGCCTGGTTCCTGAAGGAGGTCTGGAATCCACCTGGAGAGACGGGCCTTTCATCATCCTCAGAGGAGGCATAACTGTTGAAGGTTGTCAGCTGACCAGCTTTGGACCACTCATCGTTAGTGGTGGCTACTGATTTTGCTGCATTGCTTCTGCTAGAAGATGACCAAGAGGCTTGAGTCCTGTCATTTGAAGCTGACCTTAATTTGCAGCTAAAACAGGATCTGATAACGGTCTTCTGAGGCTGGGTGACCCCTGGGTCAGTTGGAAAGGTAATCCCCTGCAGCTCTGCCAGATCTTTGGTCCTTTTCTCTGTCTCCTTGTAGATCCGACAGTAGAGGATTGTCATGACTGAGACAGGGATATAAAAGGCAGCAATGGCTGTCCCAAAAGTTATCACAGGCTCAGAGAAAAACTGGATCTGACATTGCCTCTCGGGAACGGTCCTTTTTCCTACAAAGTACTGCCAGCAGAGAATAGGTGGGGCCCACAGAACAAGAGATACCAGCCATGCCAAGCCGATCATGATCCCGGCCCGTTTGGGAGTCCGTTTGACCCTGTAGGTCAGAGGTCTAGTGATCGAGAAATATCTGTCAAAACTGATCACCAATAAGTTCATGACAGAGGCGTTACTGGCAACATAGTCCAGTGCCAACCACAGGTCACAGGCGAGGTTTCCTAAGGCCCAGTATCCCATCAGGATGTAAGAGGTGTACAGGTTCATGGAGAACACACCTATGATGAGGTCAGCAGCTGCCAGACTCAGCAGGTAGTAGTTATTAACAGTCTTAAGCTGACTGTTCACTTTAAAGGAGAGCATCACCAAAACATTCCCCACTATGGTTATGAGGCTGACAATAGCAGAAACAGTTGCTATGGTGATCACCTCCCAGAGACTGTGAGTGACCAGATGGATATCCATTGTACTTGTATTCACAGAGGAGTTCAGTATGCCCTCTGCATCCATGGTCTTCTTGTGTTTATAAGCATCCAACCACAATGAAAGTGTCAGGAATTGTCATTTTTTGGAAGACCTCCTGGAAGGCAAAAGAAAAAAAAATGTTATAATTGTATTGCTTCATAAGAATCCCATTCATTTCCACTAGATGGCATTAATATAGCATGTTGAGCATTAGACATTTACAGTATACTTGGCTTAAAACTACAGAGGAGGTGAAAAAAATCCTCTCACAAACAAAGAATTATTATGTTGACAATGATAATGATAATGATGATGATGATATTAGTAATTTAAGGTTATTAAAGGATCATATCTATAGTGTGTATGACTTCAGGAGTTTGTTCTTTTCAGTGAGTGAAAGTGTGATTAATTGAAGATACTATGTGAAGTTCCAGTGTAGCATTTTTGCAGAATAAATTCAATAGGTAGCAATCAGTGCATTGAGGGGTGCTAAACATACTTCCATGAACGGCCTCTGAAATTCCCCTGGCGATTAAAAATTCTGAGCTTCATTTTCTATTTAACGTAAAATATTTTAGCACTGTTTTTATGGAGAATAAGTCAGTAATCGTATTTCTAAGATCTAATCAATACCATATGGAACTACATGCCCTTTACCAGCAGAGGGCAACACACACCCTCCTTCACACATGGTGCCCTCACTCTCAGGGTTAGAGCAGTGGTGTGCATGCACATTTTCATCTCTAAATGCTGCATCAATCAATAGCTTTCGCCAAACAAGCCTTCAGGAAATTACTGCTTTGCCTTTCATGACCTACAAATCCATGACAGTGCCATGTGGTCTTTTTCTTGCCTCGAAGGTTTTGATAGAAATTTATTGAAGCAGCCTTCAATTTCCCCCGAGGTATTGCTTAGTACCTGGATGGATAAATGAGTACACCGGGGAAACAAAGTATTATTTTGTATCTATTCTGACTATACTGCATCGACTATTAGGCTTGTCTCATAGACTGTTCCATACTTACAGTTAAGATAACAAGTGTCACTCTTTTCAGAGACTACACTCTTCTGTCAGGAATCAACCAAGCCAACTGGGCATGACGCCATTGGTATTTTCAGCCGTGCCACTCACTCAGTTTAACATTAGAGAATTTCAGTGCCAAGTCACAACTGATTTGTACCAACTCCCCTAGCTCCAAATGGTAACATTTTCCAGAATAATTCTTAAACGTAATGAATGACTTCAGAACTGATGTAAAAAAATCCATGATCAAGGAGAAAACTGTTAAACAATTATCTTTTGGGCGAATCACTCCAAAGAGAAAATCCCTCATGTGGACTTGAAGCTTTTGAACGTTCAGGCTCTCAGCCACTGCTGGAAAATGGGTGTGGAGATGTTGGCACTCATGGGCAGAGAAACAGTTTTAGATGGCGGGATATCAAACAGAAAACTGCAGGTTACAAAATGCAATTCTGGCTCGGTTATAGCCTTATGATGTATTAATTCTGCATACTCTTTAGAGAATTAGACAGGAATAAAGTTGGCTTAAAAAGCTAAAACCAGATTTTTTGTGCTGCATTAATTGATACATATATCCCAAACTGCCTTATTTGTAGTGTATTGTATTCTGCTCCCTTCTCTAGTTTTACTTCTCCTCCTTATGTTTCAATGTAACTTCTGCCAACATTGAAATACTTTGGACAGAGTCTGCACTCCATTCTTGAGAAATGACTTCCCCTCTCATTGGCATTCCTTTGAGAGTGGAAGGTAAGCGGGAGTGCCAGCGGCAGCCTGAGGCCCACACAAATAACATTCTTGTCACTGAGGGGGTCCCCCTGCATGACTTGGATTGCCCCTTATCTTGTTATATAGCGACATTTCATATCACATCACTCAAATCCTCACATCATTCCACCATTAAGCTTAAGAGATGCTAATCTGTCCTCAGAATGTTCTACAATTTTCAGGTGTCCACAAACCTTTTATATTATATTATTCTTAACCTGAGAATGAACCCTCATGATAAGTAACAATATCACTCTGCTTTTTATGCATATGTTTTTCTCCTTGTGCACCATTTGCTAGAGGTGTGGCTGTGGAAATGGTGTGGCTGGTATACTTAGTGTTTTTATATTTATTGGGAAACCCACTAAAAGTGACTTGAAATTACACTGACGATCCACTGACTTGTTTTATAACACCATCATTATCAAGAATATTGGTTTATAAGCAAACGTCTTTAAAACAATTTGCATCAGCTCCAGTATATTTTATGTGTTGTGGTTACTGGTAGGTCTTTTAGCTTGCTTACAAGATTAACTTCCATTTTTTAAATTATAGTCTGTATAAAAATTGGAAATTGGCTTCTGTGAAATCAACCATAGGTTTGTTGACTGCCCTTTTGTGAGGCCTGAAGTTCAGCATTTGGATGTTGCCATCTTGGTTTTGGCCAGAGGTTAAAATATTCAGCAAAGCTTCAATGGTTAACAGTCCACACCCTATTAATTCATTAGCTGGCAAATAATAAAACTTAGCAGATTGATTTTCTATTTGTGGTCGTTGTTGACTGGAGCTGTTTCTAAGTGGACATGAGAGGAACAGCAGTTTTATTTTTTCTACTTCTGCATTGGCTTCATTTCCCAGCCCTGGACATTGTCCCTTGGTTTAAATCCTAAAAACATCATGTTAGCTGTGTAAACCCATTTTAACCAGAAAAAAATCTGTTTATTATTAATAATGAGTGTTAGCAAAGACTTTAGGCTAACAACATGCTAAACATTCTCCTGATAAAGCTTACCTCTTAGCATTATAACTGTTAGCATGTCAGAGTATTTATGTTAGCTTGTAGATTGAAGCACTTCTGTTGCTGAAGAACAGCCTGGCTACATGTAGTCTCATAATATTTTAGTGTTAGTATTTTGTCATGCTCTTTGATAGTAACTGTAGGCAGACTCTCTATAGAGCCAGTGAAATTGGAATTAACCAAAAACATCAGGCAAGGGGTGTCAGTTTAGTTAAGTGGTAAGAGCATGCGCCCCAAGTATAGAGGTTCCTCATCCCAGTGGTGAAGGTTTGGCTCTTTACTGTATATCTCCCCTCTCTCCACCGGACATTTTCTTGTCCCCTCTTCAGCTGTCCTATCTAATAAGGGAAAAAGTGGCAAAAAAAAAAGAAAATCACTAAGAATCCCCGCCCCAGGCTCAATACATTTTTCAGTGTTGTTTTTTTATTTTCAGAACAAAAAGTGGATTGCTGAACTATCCATGATAATCTTAGATGACACCCCAACCCCCCCCACATTAAATAATGATGACGAAAACGATGTTTAAGAAATGAATTATTCCTGACTCACCAATGACTGTTGCGCTGCTGGACACACACAAATACACACACAGTATGGACTTGTTCTACCTCTGACCTCAACCGGTGGAGCAAGTCAAGCCTGCTAATAGCTTCTAAATCGAAGCAGGAAGTGTTTTACTGGTACACTCAGAACTTAGAGTGTGGGGTAAACACGAGCCTGCATCACTATAAATAGTGAATATGGTCCGCTGTGGCCTCTGTTTCTGGACTTGCAGTTTTGGTATAAAATGTGACGCATGGTGGGGAAGAGCTAGGCTACATGACGCTGTCGGGTCAGAAAGACAAGATAAAAATAGGAAGCTGCAGAATTTGTGGTCTGCCTGTATTTATAACCTGTTAAACAGTGTCAACTTATGGTGCTAAGAGATCTTGCTTTCTCCACAAAAACGAATAAAATCAATCATACATAAACATCCTTAGAGTATCCAACTGCCTCCTGAATTATTGGGTTAGTTGTGCATGTGTAAGTAACGTTCGTAGATTCAGGGATTATAAACTGTGTGTGAGGAGAGACCAGGTAGCTCAAATCTGTCCTGAGTCGTCCGCACTGAGTGTAGAGGCGGACATGTTGCCAAGCGGCTTCCTGCAGGTCCTCTTGCCATCAGAGCTTCTGTGCAGCAGCTCCATACACTGATACCCCCCCCCCAACAAGGCCTCCCAGTCATACGTAACCTTTTTCTGCACTCTCCTTTGGTTGCCGCACATCTGCTCTGCACAGCAGAAACGTGAAAGCGAATAGCGCCAGTGTGTGTGTGAGTGTGGCATTTGTGGGCGAAAGAAGAAGAGAAGATGAGAGAGACCAACAGAAGAAGAAGAAGAAGAAGCAGAGAGAGCATAAAAGAAACAGTCAAGTCAAAGGATGGAAAGGACACTGTGTGTGTGTGGGTGTGAGTGTGTGTGTGCGTGTGTGTAGGTGTAGGTGTGTGTGTATGCGTCTGTGTGTGTAGGTGTGTGTGTGTATGTGTCTGTGTGTGGGTGCTTGGTGAGTATGTATGATATGCAAATCAGCCCTGAGCTTTTTGGCACAATGGTTCGAGCGTCCTATCAGACCACTGACCCATGGGGATCTGATTCCTGCATATGTGATGATTTTAAGAAAGGCTTAAGAGACAATTGAATCATTCTGTGCATCGCGTATTTGACGTGAAAGACCTGAATCCAAAACATGCATGAAATATTTATGTGTCTCATCTGTTGGTGGCCAAATTTGGAATACAACCAAATCCATGTATGAGGTAATTTATATTTATACTCTAATTCTTTGTCTATTCTATCTGTTTCTGTTCTTTCTCTGTGAACTGATTTTAATCTCTTTTCAAATTGGTGAATATAATCATTACATTAATATTATGATCGGCTTATGAACACCCAAGTGGTTTGTGTAGCTGCTCAAGAGACATAACAATCATTCTTGAGGTCTCCAGTAGTTTTTTTTTTTTTTTTACGAGAAACATTTCATTAAAAACTCATCATTTGGATAATGATACTGCTTCAAACTCATCTGTGTTCTTGCATGAAGAGTTTTCATAGTTTCGTGCTTGTAGGTTGTCTGATGTTTGTTCTAAACTCAGAACATCCCCATTTGACTCCATGCTGATGTTATGGATGTTTGCAGAAACACAGGTGGAGATTTCAACGGCCTCTATGCTGGTTAAATTTTATTTTCCTGTTAATGGGGAAAGCTAAATAAATATGCTCAAGTTTGCACAAAACACATGAAGCCTTGATATCAGTTTTTTAATATGTATAACATAAATCCTTTTTGGATATATGATAAGAGCAAAATGAGAGGTGAGTACATTACTGCTGGGCAACTCCCAAACCCCCACTATAGCAAAGTCACAAAATTGTCGCTTAACGTTAAAAATGCATGCATTAAAAACAGTCAAGTCTCCTCTACAGTGTGGTCAGGATTTTTCCTAACCCACCAGACCATTAATGTCTTATGGGAACTCTGTTTCCGGGGTTTATAAGCGCCAGCACCTTCACACAATTGTTGCAACACCTCACAAGATCTGTGGGGACTGGGTGGACTCGTTAAAATCACGGTTCACTGCTTGATCCTTCCTTGTTTTGTCATTTCTACTTAATCATAGAGAGGAGGGGAAAAGGAAGACTAAGAGCCCTTGTGCCTCAGCTTCTGAAAAAAACATATTGATTGGAGGAAATTTAGAGGGGGAAATTACTTCTACATTTTAGTAAGATGCAATTGACATCATGATACAACTTTCCTTTTTGAATAGTGTTATCAGATATTCCACAGACAAGACTTAAAGAGGAATGTGTGGATACTGGTGATAGAAAATTGGACCAAGGTATAGAATAAGGTCTGCTTCTGAAAAGACAAGAGTGTTCATTGAAATATTTGGAATATGGATGAAAGTTTAGCAGCAGACATTCATTCTAAAATGAAGACTCACAGAGACAGACAATAGAGAGCAATAAATCAATATGCCACTTTGTTAAGAAGCATGTTTAATATTTTCTCCTTATTCATTCCACAATAACAACTAGGCTTTAAATTCTACCACATGCGTGACTTAATAAATGCTTATCCAGTCTAATGTATGGCACTTTTCCATTCAGCTAGTCTTCTAGAACAGATGCACATACATCTCCGTGGGAGAAACCTCCTCCGTTGCATTCATTAAGGTAAAAGGCTACATTAAAAATACATGCAGGGACCTCTCAGACATGCACTTGTGCACACATGATGCTATTTCCCCTTGAATCCAGGTCACGCCTTTTAGCATCAATCAAAAAGTGCACATTTAATCACTTATAATTCTTCCAGGAATGCAAAACAATTTGTTGACGTAATAATGACAAATTACTCACAATTGACTTTTTTTCGGATCTCATTTTCTTCTGCGCAAAGACGAACTGCGTCTCCTGGTGGGAACAAAGTTCATCGTTAATCCCTTTGTTTTGCCTTCAGGTCAAGTGCGGTGCTGAGGAACAGGATTGCAGCCCAGTCAGAGGGAGGATTGAGGTGGATGAGAAATCCTGCTGACTTGACCCTCGCATGCCAGAGTAAAAACAGGATGGAGAGATGAAGAAGAAGAAGAAGGAGAAGAAGGAGAAGGCTTCGATCATCCCCAAAGGCAGCATCACGTACCCCTCATCCATTCAACGCAGCCTTCGTGTCTCCAGATGAAAAAAGTATCCTTAAGTTCCAAGAGCATCCTTTCCTCAGTCGTTCATAGATAAGTAGAATCAAAGGGAAAAGGAAGAGGAGAAGAGAGAACTTTTCCTCCCCGTGCGAGCTCGGGCTGAATGAACTGTGCTGCCTCTCAGTTAAGTTGAAGCGGAATGAGCCAAAGTGAAGTCACTGCCACCTCCACACTGCTGCTGCTGCATCCACTCTGGCTGGCAGACACAGATGTAGCTGACGCGAGCTTGCTGGGAGGAGAAATTCCCATAGGGCTGAATGGTTCATCATGTTTCGGGACAGTGAGCATGCAGTTCAGACCTCAGAGTGTGTGTGTGAGGGAGGGAGGAGCGAGGAGGAGGAGGGGGGGGGGATTACGGAGAGGAGGTGGCCTCGATGGCTTCAAGGGATTCATTTTTGGAAGGTGGGGAGGCTGGAGGCAGTGTGTGTTGTAAATCCTTCTTTTTTTTATGAGTCAGATACACTATTAATTGTCTTCTATTGTGCCTCAAAAAGCAAGAAGAGGCATTGACAGCAGGGTTATCAGCTGTCCAGGCTCTCTCCGTGTTTGATCAGCGTTGCGGCTGAAGCTGTGTGGTTATCAGGAAACTCATCTGAAGAAACATAAAACACCACAGCTGCCTTTGTGCTCACATGGCAGAGCACTGACATGGCTGGAGCAGATAAGCAGACTACTGAAGTGACAGATGTTTTTCATTCAGACCTTTATGTGTGTGTGTGTGTGTGTGTGTGTGTGTGTGTGTGTATGCATGTCATTGTGCTGATTGGGGAATTATTCCCTTGGCATTATGCGACTGTCCTGGATGCTCGTAAAGACCTTATATGCTTTAATCCAGATGATGGGCTTCTGATCTGTCCCATGAGTTCCCAACAAATCACCATAGAGAACCATTAATAAATCTAGACACTGTCCAAACATAATACTCGTTACTGTAGAGTATAATGTGGCTATTTTTCCTCATTTAATGTATTGAACTGGCTCATATTCACAAGGTCACGAGACAAAAATGCCTGCAGACGTGGTTCTCATTCATTGCAGGGGATTATATCCCATCATCATGGCAAGGCAGTCTAACGTCTTAGTGGGATTATTTTGAAGGACCTCAGTCATCACCACATTCAGCTTCTGCCTTCAGGACATTTTTTTTAATAAAAATTATTTGTCCCAGTAGATGTCAAATATCTTAATCAATCTTATTTCAGCCTTGTTTTTGTATTCCAATTGAACACCCCTGTCAATATTCACTATACTAAGAACCTGATGCCCTCCTTTAATGTTCTTCTTCTTTGGTTTTATTATTGTTGTGTTTTAAGCGAGTTTGAAGGTTCTTTTCTTATAAAGTGGTTTTCAACCTCCTGGTCAAGAGCGCTAAACTTTAGGGACTTTTAGCCTCAGGAGCCACCTCAAACTTCTTAATAAGAAATTTCTAATATTTTTCAACCAGTCAGATTTGTTTAATAAAAATGTGTGCACTTTAGACCTCAGACATTAACAAATGTGACAGAACAGAGAAACAAACAAAAAAATATATGTTGAAAAAGGGCATACAACATTTTTTCCAGGCACACATTAGCGACCCACTGAAAGTGGCACCGTGACCCACTTTTGGGTCCCGACCCACCAGTTGAGAAACACTGCCCTAAAGGTACTGTAAGCCACTTTTGAAATCAGGAACAATCTAGGAAACAAGACCCCCCCCAAATAAGTTTGTTTCATAAATTATTTCTATTTCATGCATCTTTTATTATAATTATTTTTCCAGGCATGTTGAGATAATTGATGTGAAAAATGTAGATTTGTTGAAATGTTTGTGTAGAATTTACTACAGCGGTAATGGGTTATTATGAGGGGTTTTTCTCTCCAATATGTGGTGCCAAGCGGTTTTTATTAAAAAAGGGTTTTAAATTCTACTTTAGATTTGACTCTAGGCCACTTCAGAGAAATGACTATTAGAGAATTATCTATTCTTATTCTTCTCTGTGAACATACAGCAGCATTTTGGGCCAGCGGAAGTTAGTCATCTTGATAAAAAAAAAAACAACAGATGATATAATAATCTGGATTTGCAATGATAATAAGACGGGGTTGTTGACAGGACCTCTGTGTTGACACACGCGGAATAAAGAGCTGCACTCTTCCCCGTGCAGCAGATGACGCTTCTTAGTGACACACCCTCCTATACTTCACTCTGACATTTGTCATAATGCAGCTCTCACGCTGAAATAATTTCGCTACTAGGTCAGACCTGTATATGCCGATGACATGATTGATGTGTTTCATGAAAATCCTGCTACGTCTGTTCCACAGAGCGCTGTGTTTCCCCTCACAGCCTGACACTCTAATCTAATGCTGATTTCCGGGCAGAGGGCCAGAGGACAGACACCTGGCTCATCATTATGGCTGATTCGCTGACCGACACAAAGTTTAGAGCGTGGTCATATTTTTTCATGCAATACTGCACATTAACACGCACACTGCACGAGCAGGCGTGCAACACCAATGTGCTCTTGTCTTACAAGCTTGTTTCTATTGATTCTATTTGCAGGACATGTCTTATTGATTAAATTACAAAAGTCTTAATGACAAACATATGCATTATTAACCTTAGTAATTAAATTGGCAGTTGGAAACAGATAATAGATCAGTCACAGAAATTAAGCGTATGACCTTTTACCTCGAAGGACAAAAACTAATGTGTAACCAATAAACCTACTGAACCTAGAACCTTCAAATATCCTTTGGTTTTAACTCACCCTCTTTGAAAAAAAATACCCACAATGCTTCTAATAAAAGCAAATGAGAGCAGATGTCAGGAAAGCACCGAGGCAATCCTCGTCTCTACTCATCTGCATCCTAAAGACGTGACAGTTTTTTTCCACAGGTCACTGTCTGATCACTGCACGCCTGTGTGAGAGACAAGATGGGGTATAGGACATCAACACAGCCAGATATGGATTGCATCTGTCCACAGTTACCAGGGAGCTTGCTTATCTCCTGACCCAATTGTGCACCCATATGCTTAGGAGAAAAGAGCTGTTCTGATACACTTTCATTTGTGTTAATATGTGTTTTTCAAAGTGTTTTTGCTTGGGCTGTGTCTGTTAAATTAACTTAATTTAAACGGCTGATTCTTGATTTCTTAGTCGCTAAATTGTAGCTAAGCCCTGATCATTATTAACGATAAATGTCCTGCAGTATATCCTGGCTGACACGATCAATGGCTCACTTTAGAGCCCCTTTAATCTAGTTGATCCCTGGTGTGCGTGTCTCTCCACGCTGGCTGAAAGAATCGACTCCTCTTATGTCCTTTGATGTGCAACAAATGTTAGTCTGCTATTTTTTTTTTCTATCTCTCTCCGTCCAGACCTGAACAACAACTCCTGTTTGACTTAATGATTTTCCAATACCTTGAACTGCTAGGATTTACAAGTCCCCCCTCCTGCTGTGGAGCTCGCTTTTATCGCTGTGCAAAAACGAAGGCTGTTTGTTTGTTTTTCTTCTGAGCTCTTAGATGGCAGGAAACACAGCAACTTCATATTTTGAGAAAATTGATGCATGAAAATCTTGTTAAAAATGTCTTGGTGATTCTTTGGTATTTAAGAATTAAGAAGGTATCCAATATTTGATCTAAACATCTGAATGGGAGCTATTTGTAGAGTCATTAATACATAAGTGTTAACTGAAATTAGCTGCAGCATTCAGGTCAATGACAAAGAGTAAATGAGCCAACTCCCAGCTTCTTTATTTACCAATGAGCTGAGGCTGGATGGCACATGAGCTCTCCCTCTGTAAATGCAACTTTAATGTTGGCCTGACAGAGGAGATTAGGTGCCAGGGTGCTCTGATTGAGCTGTTATTGTGGACCTGTGGTTTGCACTCCTTTTCAGGACATCCAACACCGACTCGTCGCACACGCCTGCGTCAGCAACCATGACCTTGTCTGAACGTGAGCTGGGATGACCTGCACTATCACCTGTGTAAGCGTGTGTATAAAAGGGTTGAGTTATATTGGTGCATCTGCAGACAGCAGCCCATAAATGTAATGATTACATCACCGCAGGGGACAAATGCCAGCTTGGAAAAAGGCTGAATACTTACACTACCAGTTCTGGATAGCCAAATGTACCATGATTTGCTTCTATTTTCACATGATTTTAAATTGAAGTGCCGCTCTCATGCGCCTGTATTTATCAAAAACTCTGCTTTTACGGCCCTCTGAGGTCCATAATGACACTGCTATGCATTTCAAAGCTGTTAAACGCCTGCTCTGTAAAGTGCTCCAGTGAGGTACGTACTGTAGTGTTGCTTTTACACCATGAACAAAACAACCAAAAAATGCAGTTTTTCTAATTGAGTTAACCTGTAGCATTATGAACCCATCCCTTTGTTTTCATAGCAAAAGTGGTAAAAGTTTCTGGAAGCAAACTGTAGCTAAACCCAAACAAAGATATACACTGATGGAAGCAACCCAACATTGCTAGTCTGTAGATTTGTGTCGTCTTTATGAATACTATAGTATTCTGATTTTGTGGAGTGATGATACATTTGCACAAGAATATTGTTATTACTAATAATAAGCACCTTTCTTTTCTGGAAGCAAACAAGAATGAGTCATTATTAGAGTATTATCAACATGACGTTTTTTGATTCTCTACATACTGTAGGTATTTTTTCCAATGTTGTTTCTTTACTGGTTGTGTGTTTGACTTTAGAGGAAACACATTGATTAGTGAGCTTCAGAGCTTTTTATATGCTCATTCTGGATCTTTGAACAAAGCATTAAAAAACTCAATATAATAACACATTCCCATCTGACATAACACAAAAGAACAGAAGTGCGCACATTGCACGCTCAGTATACGTCTTCAAGCACAGTTAAGTCGAGCTGCTGTAAATGCTGGATAAGGTCATTTAATTGGACTACTGTTCTTGTCCCTCAAGCTCGAGGAAGAATCCATTTTTTGACAGAAGCATGTCCGACTCCACTACTGTAGGAAGCGATATGCTACTTTTCAGCTAGTAACTGTTGGACCTACTTCCAGTTGACCTAGCTAACAAGTTAGCAAATGGTTGTAAGCCTAAATGTGAAAACATGGACAACTTTTTTCTCAGTACATTTGCTGAATGTTCTATGCTTTACTTTTGGTACAAATGCGTCACACTATCCCTTTAGCTTATGGTAATATCTGAAGGCAGATGACAACGCGACTTTTGCTATGCTACGTATTTATGCTGATAGACACCCAGGT